CCAAAAATATTCACACAGAGTGAAAAAATGCGTTCTCTGCTTCTCCTTGCTTCATTTCGATGTCTCCTTCTTGCGACAATAACCGCTGCCATGTGTGCGCAATTACGCATACAGACCATTTGCACCTTCTTTTGAAACGTGTTAAATATAGAGTCAGATACCGTTAGCAAAATTGCTTTCAGGTTTGATAAATCACTTTGCGAGTGCTAAATTAATATATTTACATGTTCTCCTCCCACAAGACGCACTTTTGCATGTAAACGCCCCATATTGCATATTCATTGCAGAAAAAGTACGAAATGGATAAAGGCTCTATTTAGCACGTTTAAAGACCAAATCCTTTTAGCACGCTGTTGATAGATCAGTTTGTAAATTTTTTAGCGTGCGCAGTGAAATAGCTCACGTTTTTATACACGCAAACCTTTGATAGATCCGGCCCAGAGTGTATACAAAACTACATTTCTGTTGGTACAGCTTTTCAGACAGTAAATTAACATTTCCATTCCATAAAGTGCTGAAATGTAACCAATGTGGGAGAAAAAACATGATGCAAAAAAATAAAAAAAACGCATTGATATGGAAGTTCAGAGCGTAAATATATATGGTGCAAATATGCAGTATTTTTGTTTGGTGTTATCATTGGGATGCAAAGTTTATGACTGATTGGTTTCGAGATTATTATTTTTTTTAAGTTAAGCAGTCTGATGGCAGTGGGAATGACACTGTTGCAGAATCTGCTCGACCTACATCGAATACTGTAAAGCCTCTTCCCAAAGGGAAGCAGGGAAAAACAGTCCATGGAGGTGATGTGAGGGGTCAATGATGATGTTTCGGGCTCGAGACGCACAGCGCTGAAATTAAATGTCTTTTATGGAGTAACTTAGAACCTGGAACCTGTGGAAGATTCCCTCCCTTTCTTATGTTCAAAGTCCCTTAAATCGCATTGTCTTTGCCGCTTGGCTGTGATGCTGTTCAGAACACCGTCACCTGCTCCGCTGGTTGCGCCACTGAGGTTGAAAATGAAATTGCGTGTGCCTTCTGGGCCACCATAATTTGATAAGGCTACTTGTAAGCACAGAGCCTGCCAAATGTTGAGAGGGCAATATTATTTCCATTACCAGAGACGTGCAGAGACCGTTGGAAGGGCAGGTGCTCAAAGTGAAAAGGGGGCACATGGAGCACAGGTTTAAAACAGGATAGAGAACCAAATGAATTGAACAAACCCAATTACAACACACCATAACACACATACTCAAATGTTTGTTAGAGGTCAGCACAAGGCGAAATGAGTCTATGTTTTACAGCATGGGTAGATTGAACAGCTTCTGTTGAGGGGGTTGGTGCTGCTGTTTTGCTGGAGGTAGGCTCTATTGATCTGATAGTGTAGACACTAAAAAGATCATAAAAAAGAGAGATAGTAGCTGATTAAAAAAGAGGTATGTGTTCATGCAAGATGCAAGGATAACTAACATTAAACTGGCTCACTGTGACTGACCTGCCACACTGCTGATAATTTGTAGGAGACTACTTGTTGAGATCTGTGGGTCTGTAATTCTGTCTTTGTCTGTTTTTGCCTGAGTTCTTGTACACATCACACATTTGTCTTTTTTTGCAGTTATAGCAGCAACTTCCTGTTGCCTATGCTCTTAAAAATGTCAATGACCTGTGACTTTTTTTGCTATTTGTCATCTAGCTGGTGAGTGATCCACTGCCTTTGCAGCCTCACACAGCACCTTTTGTTTTGGTCTTAACCTCCTCTCTACTTTTGAGGCATCTCTGCAAAATGAAACATGATCCTTAAACTACAATCTGATGCACATAAAACACACAAACACAAATGTATACTTCATACCTTTTCAAAAAATTGTACTGTATAGCCACAGATTTGATCCATTAATAATTTTTCCTTTATTATTCCTAGTGCTTTAAAGTAGAGTGATGTAGAGTAATATATCATTTAAAATATTCATTGAAAAAATATTCACTTATTCATTTTTTTTTTTGTTGCTTTTATTTAGTTTGACTATTGACTTTGGGCATGACATCAAGGGTCTAAAAGTTATATGATTTGGGTGCATATTAGCCTCTATGGGCCTATTTAATTTTTGTGTAAATAAATGAGAGGTTTAGAAAATCAAAATTCAACTTGATTTTCAACCGACGTACTTCTTCCCTGTAGCACGCTTTGAATGTGTGGTCATACCACGATTGGATCTGTGCGCCCTCCAGTTTGGTCGGGCCGGCGTACTATAGTGCATACAGACTTTTGAGCCGCTGACGACGAGCGGCTATATCTTGTGAGACATCGGTGTGTGCAAATTTGGGCAGCACACAGGATGCTCATAGCTCACTTTACTTGGTCAGTCTACTCATCTTGCAACAATACACCGTGCACAAACTAACATCACTGCAGAACATAGTTACCGGTGAATTCATGAATTGGTCACCTTTTATTTATTTTTTTTGCAATTGATGCTTCTTTGCATGAGACAAATAAAACAAGGCTGGTAGCTGCATCTAATGCTAACCAATATATTTTTAGATGAAACAGGAAAAGCTAACTTTAACCTTATGAATCATAGCAGGATATGGTTAAAGTAAATTAACATACAATCTAAAACAAACAGACATCAAACCTCAGTTAGTTAACTATAAAACGGAACTAGCTAAACACGAGTGCAAATCTTTCCCACCTCCATGCCCTGAATTTCAGATGTTAATTTTACATTGAAATATAGATAAGCAAAGATTTTGCTTCAAACAACTGCTTACAGTTGTTCTCTTTGTTGCTTTACTTTGCTCCAAAAAAAGAGCAATTCTTGAGTATTCAGGAAGTGTGTTTAAGACAAAAATAGATGGACAGGGCCATAATATACAAATTTTTGGCCAATGTCCATACTAGTATTAATCATTACTATTAGTGTTGGTTGCTGCAGTTTCCCCTCTGTTGCTGGAGTCTCCTTTCCAATTTCTGCAAATCCCCCTCTTACACTGACACTTTCCAAGACACACCCTATGATGCTACAGGACTAAACAATCAGTTCAACAAAACTGTTTCTCTTTGCCATGGGACTCTCCTAAATTTCAAAACTTCTGCAACAAATTGCTGCAAAAAAGTGACCACTCTGCAACTTTTCTCTCTGAGTTACAGAACACTATCAGATGGCTGATGAGACTTGAGGATTGGAGCTTCTAAGAACAAAGAGCCTCTGCTGTTGGCCTGACATGCTAAACATGCTAAATTTGGGTTTTTGATGATTTTTTTTATCTTTCCATCTGTTCTGTAGGACAAGCTAACAAGATGAGCTGAATGGCACACCATCTTAGAATTCAACTCACCTTTAATGTCATAACACTATCGCAAGTACAAAGTGACAAAATTAACTATCTGCATTTAACCCACCCCCTTGGGGAGCAGGGGGCTTCCATTGTGTGGCACCCGGGGAGCATTCTAAGCTTAAGGGTCTTGTTCAGGGACCCAGAGTGGCAGTCTGTGGTAATGAGTGGGATTTGAACTCAGAACCTCAAAGACCAGTGTGCAGTGCTCTAACCACTAGGACACCACCCCCCATGTCATGTATTGAGCTGTTGTTTATAAAGCCTAAAAAAAAAATGGTTTAAACACTAAAATATCATTAACATCTATCTCTTCTTCTTTGCTCATCATATTTCATTACCAAAATATGACCCAAGAGTCATATGTTAAGATAATTCTCCTCCCCGCCTGCTGAATAAAAGTTATTGGTTGCTGAATAAGCAAAGCATTAAATAAGATATTAGTTAATCAAACTCCAGTTGCTCTAAATTAGACATAAAGGGTACATTCCAAATTCTTCAAGATAAACTTTGGTTCTCAAACATAAAATCCATGCTAAACTGTGAAACCATTGTATCATTTTATTGATTGAACTTTTGAACCATGTGTTTTTCTTCCTTTGTGCACAGAGCAGCTTACTTCAGTTGAGTTTCACTAGTATAGTCAAGAGTGTATAATTAAATATGTTTCTCTTGAGGCTGAATAATTTTTGTGAGTCAGATTTTGGAGTTCTGATGAATTGTTTCCCGATATGTGCAGAGTTTTCTGTCTGACCTATCTGAGCGAAATTCACACTTTCATTTGTTGTCTTAACTCGAAGCCAGTTAGGCCTTTGTTCACAGAACAGTATACGTTAGTGCAAATAATAATTGAATAAATAACACATTTGCCATGCCTAATAGGGTAGATCAAAGACCAGCAACAGCAGAGTGTTATTATCAAGACTAATAAATCAACAAATAAGTATTTTTGACATAACTGTAAACATGTCCCCACACTCAAGGTAATCTTTCAGTTTTCTTTTATTTGTTAAATAGAGTGAGCAAACATGTTACAAACACTACTAACAGATGAGTGTTTTAGGCCAATACAAAAGTATTATTTATGTTTAATAGACACTACATTAACTACTTATATTATAGAAAATCTTTTAATTATTTGTTTAAACTCAGAAGTTAGTACATTTCCTTACTAAGTGACTCATTTGTATACCTAAATCATAAATACATACTTAGAGTTGTGTACTGCCTAATGTTCTGCTTTTTCCTGAATTGATGTTAGAAAATGTGAGTTTGATTTTTGAAAAATGAATAAATATAGCAAGAATTAGGTAAATTAACTCTTACACTGGTGGTAATATGCTTGTAAATACTTGTTGTACCTGCTTAGCACAGCTTTAGTAGTACAACTATGACCTGGTTTTAGGTTTTTTAACTGCATAGTGGTTATTCATGCTTAGCCTCTCTCACAAGAATCCCAATTTTGCTAACATAAAAGCACATGAGTAATAAGGAAATACGTTTCCATGAATTATGTAATGATTTTTAAATAAGGATACAAGTGAATCCTTGCTAATAACAACAGTTAAAGTGGTTAACATACCTGGTAGAGATGTCTTTTTATAACTAACTTTAAAATGTCATGCACATTCAAACCTGGGCAGTAGTTTATTTTTTATTTTTTTTTTTTTTTTATTTCCCTGTAAAAACTCTTAAGTTCCTGTTTATTTTGGTTTACGTCAGAGAAAGACACAGCAGAGATGTTGAAGGGGCCAGACTTCAGCTATAAAAGTTGTAGAAACCCTTATTGGAAGCTCAAACACTCAAAACTGTTGGCTATTTTTCCTATGCAAATGCATTTAAACTATTATTTAAACATTCTTAATGGATGATGAATACTGGCCCGTTAACCAATTTTCAATGCAAGCAGTGCAAAATGAGGTTCCCTTTTAATACATTTTGGAGTTTCAGTTTATGTTGCAAGCCAGGGCAGTGCACCATTTCCTAATTCTGTTGACAGATATTAAATAATTCTCATTGCACATATCCATTTAATAACAAAAAATAATACAGATTACAAACTCTTCTTCAACGTAAAAGCCTTGTGATAGCTGTCAGAAACAGCTTTTATGTGTAGTCCACATTTCCATAGATATTGTCCTTGTGTTCCTTCTGTTGACCCATCTGATTTTCAGATATCTAAAAATAAAAAATTAACATTTAGACAAAGATGACATAAACTGTGAGAGACGTATTGTACAAGTCTTGAAGATTACAAAACTAAATATCAATGAAAATACAAAATACCTCATAATTAATGTAAACAGGTTCATCAATTACTTTGGGATCTGGAGGCAATTTGTTTGTTGTTTGACAAGGGGGTTCACTGCAGATAGTTGGAATATAGAACATTTGCATTTTAGTTACATAATCTGTAAAGTAATCGGTAATGTTATCTTTTTATGGGAATAGTTCCCCTTTCCTGAGGTAAAATAAATATGGTTTGGATGACTGATAAGCTCATTAAATTAACGCCATCTTTGGCTGCTACAACATATATGTGATTAGCCTGCCAACTTCAACCACTCCTCGAGTAAGGGAACTGTGACCACAAATAACATCACAGCCTCCCTTGGAAAAAAAAAAAAACTTTCATTAAAAGATATTTAAAACTGATTTTGATCTTTGGCTATCTTTGGTTGCATTTAACGTAAGTCTGACTGTAAAATAAAAAATAGTATTTTGTTGTCGAACAATTATGTAAGAAAGATAATCTGAATTTTTTTTTATAGAGAATCATAAAAAAAGAAACAGAACCTTTCAGGTGAATGAGAAGATGTCTGTTTGAAGTTCATATAATATCCAGACTCCTCCCGCGTGACCTTTTTTGACCTGGAATATCGAAGTAATGAAATGGTAACTGATACAGCAGGGAAAAAAGTTATGAACCTGTCCGTTAGTCACAACTTTTTACATATATTTGTATAAATATATTTTCATTTTTCATAGATAGATAGATAGATAGATAGATAGATAGATAGATAGATAGATAGATAGATAGATAGATAGATAGATAGATAGATAGATAGATAGATAGATAGATAGATAGATAGATAGATAGATAGATAGATAGATAGATAGATAGATAGATAGATAGATAGATAGATAGATAGATAGATAGATAGATAGATAGATAGATAGATAGATAGATAGATAGATAGATAGATAGATAGATAGATTTTGGCTTAACTTTAAGCAATACACTTCCTATTTTGTTTTTTGTCTATATAACAGCTGTATCTGATGTACATGTTTTTGAATTACTACTCACCGCTTGCGTTTCCTGTAAGCAACTGTCCCCCCAGCAGCAAGGCAAATAAGTCCAACAATTGGTACCAAGGTGGCCAGATACAGACTCTGGTTTCTATCATCAGGCATCGTAGGCAAGTAACTTGCTGTGAACGATAATAAATGACATTAGGTTAGCTATTTTAAATATTTTAACATGACCATAGGTTTCAGAAACACATACCGAGTTATCAAAGTAAGGTTAAAAAAAAAAACATACTTGTTGAGACGTCCACTGTGATATCTGTGGTTGTGGGATATGTGGGATTTAAGGTACCTGTGAAAAAAGACCCTTTTTGAACATTTGGAGGAATGATAATCTGTGCGACTGCAAAATAAAATAGTAAAATAATTTAAAATGTAACAAAAAATATTCAATTTGCTTAAGAAAGTATTTGAAAAGAAAATAAACCAACTTGAATTCACGCCGGCAATGTAAAAAGACACCAACTCATTTGTCTTTATAAAGCTGTAGTTGTTGCTCAGTCCCCAAACCCGCAGGTAGATCTGCGGTTCATTTTGTGTTATATTATTGATCTGTAGAGAGCAGTTTCCTTCAGTTTTATTTCCAATAAGTTTTGTCCTGTTGCTGAACTTCGAGTCTACACATGTGTGATTTGGATGAAATACGAAAGCACGTTTGTCGTGGTCTGTCTTGTCACATTTAGCATCCCCTTCTGTTTTCCAGATTTTCCAGTAAATTGTAACATTTGAAGTGTGTTGAGCTTTAGGATAGGTGAAAGAACAATTGATGGTTACGGTTCCTCCCTTAACTGTTGGTATGCGATTATTTGTTATTGTTATTGTCCACTTGTCACCTGTGTTTTAAAACCAAATAAAAAACACATTATTAATAATAAATACACGGCGCTTCCCCCTAAGAAAACATCAAACCTTTTGAACATATACTTTACAGACCTTCAGCCAGTGAAAGTGGCAACCACAATAGATTGAGATGAAATAGGATTTGCAGCTGCATCTGATAAAAAAAATAAAATAAGATCACACACCTTTAAAATCCCCTCTTTTACAGTAAAACCTAAGAAAGATCTTGAGTAAAATTTTAGTTTTATATATCTAATACTCACTTTGAAAATAACACAGAGGATGTTCGGCTGGTTGATTCTTCTTTGAGTCTATGTTACATCTAAGTACTGATGTGATAACTCTTGGTTGAGTTTCCTGTTACATAGTTGGGCAATAGGTGAAAAGGGGAAGGCAGTAAGGCCAAAAAAGTGACTGTAGCCACCCAGGAAATGCATGTTGTGATAAAAATAACTTGGATAGCTCTTTAAACTGCTTAGCTGACTTTAAAGAAGTAAGCTACTCTGTAGCCACAAAAATATTTTAAATACATTTGAATAAATTGCTATATCAATAAAACATATTTAAAAAAATAAACATTAAAGAAAGTAGAACTCTATCATATATTGACAGAGGAAGTCACAGTATTTCAAGCTTTCATTTTAAATGAATTTGATGAGACTGGCATACAGCGAAGAGCAATCAAAATATTATGTATGAGCAAGAAAAAAAAAATGTTTTAATACAATCTATCTTATCTACTGAGAAGTAGGTCCATACCCCATACTGAGCAACACATAGACTCTATTCTTGCTTAGTGCTTATTTTAGATTAGTTACAGCTGCAGTGAAGTGTGGCACGGAAGAGATCAGCAGGTGTCATTTGTGAGGAGTTCAGGAACTAGCCTTATTATATATATATTTGGTTCTCATCTCCTTCAGCACAATACTATAAAAACATCTCTTTTGGGTTTAGAAAAGGTAGTTTGCTGGTACCATGAAGATGAAACAGGTACTGGTACTTTTACCAGTGTCAGTAGGTGATGTGGCATAGAAATCCATTCAGTTTGTCCACATCTAGTGAAAACTAGTGTGATTGGATGAGTCATATAACACAAACACTCATTGGTTAGCTAAAGGGAGTCATCAGAAGCAAGCAGGTGTTCTTGAAACTGCAAACGTGAAAAGATGATGAAATGTCTGAAAGCTCGGACACAGGCGTGAACGTATCGGGAGACGTAGACCAACAAGACCTCCCTCATCCTTGGCCCTATCTCAAAGAATTTTTCAAAATAGTCTAAAAATAGAGCTTTCAATTCATATATTGGCATCTGGCTGTTTTTTTAAAGGTTACTTTATACTTTTACACTTTAAATAGTTTTTGGAGCACATACTTTTTCCCTTTTACTTGAGTAAAAAGGTCAAGTTGATACTTCAACTTTTACTAGAGTGTTTTTAAAATGCAGTATCTGTACGTCTACTTAAGTAACAAATGTGTATACTTTTGACACCACTGCAAACCGGTAGGTGGCAGTAGTGTTCTTTGACAAATAATGGATGTCTCCAGTAAAGCACATTTAAATGAAATTAATCTTAATTAAAACACAAATTTATTGAAAAGTATGTAACAATTTCTTTGTTAAAGTACTTTCAGAAGTTTGTATTCTGAATGTGACCAGAGTTTTCCTTTAAATGGCCAAGCTCCATCTTACAACAGAGATATGATTGTTCCTTAGGTTCCAAATAAAGCACTTTGCTCTCAGTCTGCGGGTTTAGAATCAGAATCAGGTTTATTGCCAAGTAGGTTTGCACATACAAGGAATTTGACTTGGTGTTGATGGTTCAGACAATCTAGATATATATACTGAATACATCATTTATTGCTATATTATACAATATAAAACATACATATACTATATGCAATATATAGTATACAGCTATATACTATATACACAGTGGACTGTGCATTAATGTAATGCAGAAGGCCTGGAGATGCTATGTTGGTGTAGCTTATAGGTCCTGAACGGGGAAGGGAGAGAGGCAGTGTCAGTGAGACAGGGGTCTCTGGGCCTTGTTGATAAGTCTAGTAGCGGATGGGAAGAAACTGTCCTTGTGACGTGAGGTCTCGGTCCTGATGGATTGCAGCCACCTGTTTACTAGTGGTTCCTAGAATTTCTAAAAGTATAATGGGAGGCAGATCTTTTAGTTATCAGGCTCCTCTCCTGTGGAAACAACTACCAGTTTTAGTCCGTGAGGCAGACACCCTGTCTACTTTTATGGCAAGGCTTGTCGCTTTCCTTTTTGATAAAGCTTATAGAGTGGCTCAGGTTATTCTGAGTTATATCTGTTGTTATGCTGCTATCGGCTTAGACTGCTTCATTCTAGACTTCATTCTCTCTCTGTTCAATCTGTTCAATCTCTAACATTATGCTCTCTCTGTTTTTTCTCATAGTAGCTTCATCTGGTCTGATCCTGTTTGGATGTGACGCCATCCTGGAAAGAAATATCAGCTGTGCTGCTGCCATCAACACCTTTATTTATAGCTGTTCAAGCTTGGCCTGTTTTTCAGTGTCGTCCTGTTTCTCTGACTGTGACTGGCTGGATGTTCTCTCTTCGTCTTCTTCTTTCCTGGACAGGGCCGTCTGTGGAGCTGGTTGAGACTTGCCTTTTGTATCTCTGCTTCTTTCTGTATGTCTGCTTCTGTCTGCTTGAACCTTAGTCAGCCTCGGCAGATGGTCGCTTGCATTGAGCCTAGTTCTGCTGGAGGTTTCTTCCAGAAAAGGGAGGTTTTTCATGTCCACTGTCTATACAAGCATTCTTGGTGTGAGGGATTGCCTTCGAGCCAATGAGTCAATGCAGTCAACTGGTTTTCCTTAGATAGAAACTTTGAATTAATTTGACTGTATGATCTGGTTAAGTTATAAGGTGCCTTGAGATGACATGTGTTGTGGATTGTCCCTATATAAATAAACTGAATTGAATTGTATTTCTGTTTTCAGTCTTCCTCCAGACTCTGAGATCTCAGTTGAAAAATGGAATACAAAATATACTTTGATTTGAAAAGAGAAAAACCTCCGACCATTTACCGTTTTTCTACTTTATCCTGATGAAATACCTCTCTTGTCTTTAGTTCAGGAGTAGCATAAAACAAAACATTACAGGTGACTTTCTCTATATCTTGTAAGATATAGAGCTCTTAAATGGCTGACTCGTGCTGCAGTTCACGTCCTTTGAGTTAATTTCGCTTCACAGTTCTCTCAAAACTACTGTTATGGCTGTTGATTTTCCACAGCACTCTTCACCATTGTGTAGATCATGGCAAGTGACTAAATCTTATTTTATGAATCGTGTTTGAGGTTTCATTTGTTATGAATTGTAATCATTCTTACTAATAAAAAAAACTATTTCTATATTTTCACTATTTTGAACTGAATTAAGTATTAAATAATTTTTCTAATCCATCAGATGCAAATTAATAACAGTTGAAATAATGGCTAGAGTTGTAAAATTAATTATGTTAAATGTCCAGTTGTATTTTCAGATTTAAAAACATTAAAAAAAGAAAAAGATATGACTCAAAGATTAAGATTAAAATACATTCAGGAATATTTAACAGTTATTTAAACGTCTGACCAAATAATAGCATGTAAATGTTAAAATAACAAACAATCACACAGTGTACAATTTGAACTGAAATGCATGTTTAGTTATTTAGAAAATAAATGTTAACACAAAAATGCCATATAGATCTGTAAAGTGTGGGATCTGCTCATGTTACCATATTGCCTTTCACTTTTTATTGTCATGATCATGGCTATGAGAGCTGGTCTATTTGCTCACTTCATTCACCTGCTGAACGCTGCCTGGATTCCAATCTCCACTGATCTAATCCACCTGCTGCTGCTTCTATATATAGGACTCAATCCGAGCTATTGGGGCCAGATCATTGTTTTGCTGAGTTCGACTTTAAGATAATTGCTGATGCCTTAGTTCATGTTCTCAGGAACCAGTGGTGAGAGAGGTTCTTAGTGTTTCGCAGAGTTCCTGATCATGTCCTGTCTGTTGTTCACTGAGTTTGCCCTGTTCCTATCTTGGTTCAGTGGAAAGAAGCGAGTTGTAGCCTACTGTAGTGTTCCTGATACCCTGCCTTGTTCTGCCTCTCAACTACTGACCTTGTCTGTTTCCATCTGAACGTTCAGCCTTAAAGGGATAGTTCGGTATTTTTGACATGAATCTGTATGGCATCCCCATCACCAGCGGCATGCAATCACACTGACTTACCCCTGGCAGCGTCCTGTGAGCAGAGTTATTGTCCAGTTTTGGTCAAGCCGAAAGTAGTCCGACAGGTTTTTTAGAGCCAGCGAAATAAAACGTTTCTCTTCCCAAAACATTATGTGTTCAAAAGAGCGATATTTTTGCATCCCAAAAACATTGTAGTGGAAAAAGTCCCATGTCGTTATCAATTGGTCCTATTTTCTCTCTGTTCGTATCAGTGCGCGCCGTCATTCAGACAGCGAGCTCAACAACAGCCAGATGCATGTCTCCCTCCGCCTAGCTCCTAGCTGGGCGGAGGGAGACATGCATCTGGCTGTTGTCAGGTTAGTAGGCCCTAGCTGTCTGAATGACGGCGCGCACTGATACGAACAGAGAGAAAATAGGACCAATTGATAACGACGTGTGACTTTTTCCACTACAATGTTTTTGGGATGCAAAAATATCGCTCTTTTGAACACATAATGTTTTGGGAAGAGAAAAGTTTTATTTCGCTGGCTCTAAAAACCTGCCGGACTACTTTCGGCTTGACCAAAACTGGACGATAACTCTGCTCACAGGACGCTGCCGGGGGTAAGTCAGTGTGATTGCATGCCACGGGTGAGGCCAAAACGGGATTCATGCCCCAAAATACCGAACTACCCCTTTTAAACCCTCTCGGGGCAGACTCCTGGAACCCTGCCCAAAGCTTTTTCAGGGTTCGATGGGGTTTCCTTTGGGGTTAAAACGGACTCCTGGATCCCTGAGAATTACTGTTCTCAACTGTTTACCTGACCTGGATTCCAGCTTGTTCACTGGGGCTGCAGCAGGTGGTTCACCCAGGCCAGCTCCTGCCACATCTCATAGGCAGCCCACAGGCTGGAGCCAAAAATTTGGCCCTAAACTTTTTAAAACCCAGGTAGGGACTTGCTTTAAAACCATCCTTCATCAGTTTTTTAAAGGGGTCATTTAACCCCTGGGGTTTTTTTCTCAACCAAGTATCCAGTGCCCGGGGGGTTTGCTCTTTTGAACTTTCCTACGATCTGTCTCTCCTTGAATATTGGGTCCTTTCTTTTTTTGTTCATTTGAGAAAATGGCCAGTAACTCCTATTATGTTTCGTTTAGAAAAGGTGTATTTTAGGCTATTGAGGCATTCAGTTC